ATTGTGCCGTTTTAAATGCTCTTTTCAGTGATATATTTGAAAGTTAATTTCGATCTTATTTTGGTGCAGAAAAACAGGATTTACTAAAGGTCTGCATAGCTCATGCGCACCTGTTAAAACTCACTCCTTTTTCGAAGTGTGTTTTCGATGAAAAGTACCTCATCATGGAGCGCATTCTTTTTTCTAGTGAATGATGTGGGTCAAAAAGAATTTATGCAAGAATAGAAATAGAATCAGGCAGGAGAAATATCAATGTGCAGGGTGTGGGTGTGTGTGGAAACAAATATTCATACACACACACGCACGCACCCACATTCACACCCGAGATCAAAGATACTATTTGCTGAATCAGATTGAGATTGTTTTGTAGAGATTAAGCATTCTATTTTGGTTCATCTATATAAGCTCACTGAAGATTGAAAAAAAACGAAATCGCCGTGTCGTTTAGAATTCCTGTTTGGCTCATATGAAGTTCCACATCGATCAGCATATTTTGGCCCGACCCAAGTCGAACTCTGGTGAACAAGCAAAGGTTGATGTTCTTTTAATGCTTTTTTTATGTTCTATATTAGAACCACTGTCAGTAAGATCAATACTGCACCATATAAAAATATATTTATATGCAAACTTCGAAAAAGGCTCAACAACTCTATCCCAAACTCATAAGATATATTAGATGTTTCTTCTTTTTGAAATCATAATCATATCGCATAAATTGAAAAACTCTTTTAGACTCTATAAGAAATTCTTCTTCATTAGGGAAATCGGAGATTGCTGCAATATCAACACTGAATGCACCACACGGGTGAGCAGCACGAGGAAAATACTTGTTCATGCAATCGAAGATAAACAGAGTATTACCAAATTGTTCTGCTTTCTCTCGACTTCTGCTGGTTGACGTAAATGCAGTAAAAGTTATTGTACCCTTCTTAATCATGTAATCTTTTCGTTGTTCATCCGTCAGTTCACATCCACGATAAAGTGTTATAATTTCACGTGTCTTATTTTTTTCTAAATATTGCTGAAGTAACCAACAGAATGGACCGATCGATTTTAATTGATCAATTGTGATATTAGAAATATCACGAAGCAGTTTATTAACAAGTTTGTACCAGAAGCATTCTTTTGTGTAGAGGTAAACACACATTTGACCGATTTCAACAGGTATAGTATGACACCAATCTGCTGAAATTCCGTTCCCGTAATGTTTGACTGTAAGTAACTGTCGAGCTAACCATTCGGCTTCCTTTGTTTTTCCAAGTAAGCTGCCCTCCTTCATTATGCCTTCTGCAGCAGCTTCCACAACATCACTAAAAACTTTGGAAGTCTTTTCTAGTTCTGATTTAAAATAGGTACCGGCAATATAGCTATGAGATCTTAAATGATTTAGCGTATCGCTATCTGCAGTTTGTGATCCTTCAATTGATGGTGTCGATCTTGTAGCTGCTAGAGTTATTGGAAGCGAGAATCTTGTTTCTCTCAAGTGCACATGACTACGATCATTTTCTGATTGAACACGTTTGATAGGTCTCTGTTTGTCTTTCTCATTTTTCTTGTACTGAATCTGATGCTTAAGATTGATCACCCAGTCACCATCAATTTCCACCTGAAGTAGTTCCTGACTATATGCATCTTCAATAATTTCATTCTCAGCATCTGCGTATTTCATCCATTCTTCGGCTAATGACCAAGGATCGACAGCTGAGTTCCAGTACCACTGAAAATTCTTTGGACGAAGAAGGACAGGAAGACGATTTGAAGAAGCATAAGCCATTTACTATTCTTTTGCTTACACTTTTTTTTGAAAAATAATATATGTTAGGCAGTTTCTTTTTTTTCTTTTCTGCTGTAAGAAAATGTGTGCGCAGTACTGTTATGAAAACAACAAAAAAATTATTAACTTCTTTTTTCTTCCTTTCGCTTTATGGTTCGTTATTATTTCTACTCCTAGTCATACTTGAAAAAGAAAGAAGCATGAAAAAAAGCTGTCCTGCTATGTAATTCTGTAACCTGAACGGAGGATTGTAACTCATTGTCTATATTCATTAAATTAGCGAGCTTTTCCCACTGCTTTATCAGAAAATACAATAATGATGATAAAACCTGATGTCGCACTTGTACATTTTGACAGAGCACGAGATATTGCAGGCTGAAATTCTACTTCAAAAAGGACAAGTGGTGGTAATGCCAGTTTTTCGCCCCCATGATTTTTACTTAAAAATCACTTAAGCAAAGTAAGTCGACAATAAGAAACATTTTGTACCACTCAGTTTTGAAAAATTCGTCCAACCAATTTTTTTCGACTTGAGGTCCTCTTCAGGAGTTGGTCTGTAACTTTTTGTCTCTAATTCTTGCAATGAGCATATCATTCGATGCGAAATTTTATGCTGATCACGAATATTACTGTTACATTCTTAAAATGTCAAGTTTTGTCTGAGTAAATCGACTTTTACTGCTAGGGTGGGATTTCAGTAGAAACTTATGAGGAAGGTCATCAATTATTCAATTTCTTTTGAACCGAAACTATGTGTATTATGTAGACTCCAATTAGTTATGAATACTGTGACAAAGGTTTGAGCAGCTAGCTGATTGCGGGGTGTAGTGTGTGGGTGTGGGTGTTGTAACCACTATTCATACTAACACTCACACCCAACATTTCTGCTGCTTCCCGCAGTTTTGACGTTGATACAAAGGATGACCATTTATAATAAAAGCCTTTTCCAACAGTTTCCCTATAGATTTTAATTTGACCAGGACACAATTATTCACCTCAGTAAACAGTAATGGATGTAAAATGTGCCGAGGATTTCACAATTCGTTTTAATTGATGTCTAAAAGACAAGTATTCGTTGTGCCGTTTGCCAATATAGTTATACAGAAGGTAACAGAATGGACCAAGGGTTTTTAATTTTGACTGATTATTATCTGTAAGGTTTCATTTACAATTTTAAATAGGAAACAAGATTTTGTATACAATCGTGCACAACATTCTTGTAGCTTCTCGATACAGAGTGTCCCAAAAGTTGTAGCAGATTTTTTTAAATCTAATTTTTGATGATAATGAATACAAATCAAACTCAAACTTACACGTATCATACAACTTAACATGTACTTTTATTTCATATATTTTATTTGGATTAAATCATTGGATATACAAAAAAATAAAGAAA